CTTCGAAGAAATTCGTTCTTATGATTTGTGAAACACAAAGATGTGAACAACGTGTCAATCAAAGTATCTGTTCTCTCTTTGAGAACTGGGGCTCCGTTTGAGTTTTTCGGGGTGGAGTACGGTAGTTCAGGAATAACGCCACCGCCCTTTAACAGCCATAGATTGAACGGCGACTAATTAAGTGTCTGCTCAATGTAGATGTGCAGATATCGCAGTTTATCTGTAATTCACAGCACACAGTGCCAATAGATAAATAACTACAAAGTGTTTAAAATGATTCTGTACTCACCACAAAGTGTCTAAAAGGATTCGTTACTAACCATAAAGCGTCTACAATTATTCGGTGCTCACTATAAAGTGTCAAAATGGAATCGATACTCACAACAAAGTGTCTAAAATGATTCGGTTCTCACAATAAAGTGTCTAAAATGATTCTGTTCTCACAGCAAAGTGTCTAAAATGATTCGGTTCTCACAACAAAATGTCTAAAATGATTCGGTTCTCACAACAAAGTGTCTAAAAATATTATTTACTCGTCATAGAGTGTCTTTAATGATTCGGTATTTACAATAAAGTGTCTAAAATCACTGGGTACTAACGACTCAGATCCCCTGGTAACTCCTGGCGGCGTCATTCTCCTCAAACTGTAATGATTTATTTGTGCCTCCGCGCTGTTCCCTCGCTCCAAAAGGGCCCTGACAACATCTAGATTTTTATACATCAATGAACAACCAACTGGAGCAGAACTAGCCAATATATCTGACTGTTCGTTTCCCAACACAGCGGCATAACCTGTAGAAACTATTCACAGCGATGCTTACCACTCTGCGCAGAGAATGCCTCGCTTCACCTTTCTCACCACGCTCTATGTTTCAGTTACAATATATGTGTACAACTGGGTCTCAAGCCAGCGGAAGGCAGCAGTGACTGCCTCCACCTCCACTCTCAAACTACATGTTGTGGTATCATATGCCAGTATTGATAAATAGATGTTTTAACTCTTTATACCCGACGTTACTTGCAAATAATAGTCACAATCGAATGCACACTCACCTGGTGGGTTGATAATTTCTGGCGAGGAAAAAAAGTTAAATGTTATAAATAAATGTTTTTTATCGAATGCACACCATACATTTACACATCATTATTATCATCAATGTCGTCATCAGCCTGCTCATTATTAACCATCATCATCATGTAGCAGGTTCTTTTCACAACGTCGCTCTCATCACAGCCTGCTTGAGAGAAACTCGGCCTATCGCCAGCTCTAACGCCTCCTGCAATTTCCTCCCAAAGTTGTCAATTATATCCTATTATCATCTTATGCCGTTCGGCCCCTGACCCCTTTCTTGGCGCCATCCTCTGTGCTAATATTCTTCCCAATTCATCGTCTAGCTTTCATGACTAAAATATTTCAGTTTCCCAGACAAGATACTGCTGACGAGCCAATGTTCCTTGATGTTCAGATCTTTTAAAATTGTAATATATTTTGTCCTCTCTGCTCTTGGGATTCTGGGAATCTTTCTATAGAATTTCAGCTCACAAGACCATGTTTTCTTACTTAAAGACTGGGAGATTTTCCACGACTCAATCCGTATGTTGCTACGGGGAAGATGCATGCCCTCCAAATGTTATCTTTGATTTCCTTCCTGGTGCTTAGCCATAGACTTTAAACCCAGTTTAATCTTTTCATTGCTAATGACCACCCTCCTTTTGACTTCTTTGAACAGTCTCCATTGTAATTGACTATGGAGTCAAGGAATTTCAAAGTTGGTGAAATTTTCAATTTCCTTATCAATTTTTGTTATAGTTGGGAGACAGCCAATTTGGTCTGTGGACAATGTGTATATTTTCTTATATTTAGGAACCGTTTTTTATCTTCACTGTTGTGTGTGTGTGTGTGTGTGTGTGTGTGTGTGTGTGTGTGTGTGGACGAGACATGATTAAATGTTCTATTCCTTTCACACTTCCGGAAGTTTGTTTCATCATTAACGTCATCACATATTTTTTTTGGTAATAATCAATATACGCATATACATTTTATCACCACCACCATCACCATAGTCATCTTCAACATTATCATCGTCATTATCTTCTTTATTATCATCACCGCATCTTCCCAATGTTTATGGCAAAATATTATTTAAAGAATCTTACTTAAAAAAATGGCAAAAAGCTCATGGTGGTAGATGGGTACTTTTACAAAGATATTGGCACTCGATAATTGATGTCGTAAACATTACACAGGCCGTCATTACTTTTTGAATGTTGAATGTTAAAATTGAGAATCGACATCACAGCAGTCAGGACACTCCCATAAATGCTCAATCTCCATCTTCAGCAGCAAGCGAAGAGTTTCAATTCCTATGGTACCAGTCACAGTCTGATTGTATATGGTACCAGTCAGTCTGATTGTATATCCGTCTCATCCTTCCGCTGACTGTTGAGCGTCGTCCCGATCCCCTGGTAACTCCTCGCAGCGCAAATGTCCTTAGACCATAACGATCTATCTGTGCCTCCGTACTGTTCACTCGCTTCCAAAGGGCCCTCACAAAATCTAACTTGTGACACATCAATTCACCACCAAGTGGTGCAAAACCAGCCAGTCTATTTGGCTGCTCATTTCCCCACACACCGGCATTACCTGGAACAAATATCTTTACTTCCTATGACATTTATTTTGCGGTACCTATTTTATATTGGTTCGGGATGGCGAAAAAAGATTCGTTTATTATTTTGTTTACTCCTTTATTCAACCCTTTATTTTTTTATTCGCCTGCTTCTTTCTTCGTTCGTTGACTTTATTTAAAAAAAACCCGACGACAAGCCTAGTTAGCTACATCAGTTAGACGTGAAAAATATTTGTTCATAGCCATATATCTAGAAGACATTTCTTCTTCTGTTAAATTATTTATTTCATTCATTTGTTAGTTCTTTTGTTCGTTCCTTCTTTTAGATCAGACATATTCGAATAACCGGTTCAAGTCTGATTAACTGACGCAGTTGTAAGCTAAGAAAAAGTGTGTACTCAATTAGGTATATTGAAAACATTTTATGAGCTGTTTGCAACGCCATATAGTTCATTCGTTTTTTTTTAGTTTCTTAGTTTGTTTGATCATTATTGTGTTTGTTCGTTTAAAATTAATTAAGTAAACTTCATAATTATCATCATGTTTCCTGCCAACTGGCGTAAGCGCTCATGCGTCTCAACAGATCACGATCCTTGGTTGCCTAGAACAGCTCTCTTGATGATATCCCTCCATGACATCGTTTCAGCCGACCCAGCATCATCTCTCTTGGTCTACCTCTACCCCTTTCTCCTACTTATCTTTCCAGTTGTCACGATGTTCTCCAATGTCCCTCTTTTCACTATGTGATCAGAGAACCTCGCTTGTCTCTTTATTATTGTTGTGTATAGAGATCTACTTTCATTAGCTTCTTCCAAGCAATCGTTGTTAGTTACTTTAACCGTCCAAGGTATTCGTCTCAAAAACTACATATCTGTTGCTTCCAAATTCTTCTTAATTTGTTCACTGACATTCCAAGATTCGCTGCCATACAACAAAACAGGTTCTGTAAAACATTTTAGCACCCTCTTTCTGACATTAAGTGAGAGCGATTTATTGCATAAGATATTTTTCATTTTCTGAAGTGCAGCTTTCGCTTGACCTATTCTGCTTTTAATCTCTGTCACACATTTTCTATCTGATGATATGATTGTTCCCAATTATTTGAATTTTTTGACTTGAAGTAAACTTAGTTAAAATAAATATTAGACATTTACTCTGGCAAGTCCGGTAGGCCTACGTAGTTATTAGTAAAATTGTTTGTTCAAAACTAGGAATATTGCAGATATTTTGTGGCCTGTTTGCTACGCCTCATATCGTTCATTTAGTTTTTACATTTATGAAACACTTACACTGGCAAGTCTCGTTAACTAGCGCAGTTATAAGTGGGATTTGTGTGTGTATGTTTGTGTTTGTAAAAGACTTCCCCAATTATAATTCCAGTTTGTAGAATTACCACCTCAAAAAATTTATGAATGCTACAGTTATAGGGCAAGAAATAACGGTTACGAAATAATCTGTTGTCCAGTGTGGCTGCCAGTGCGACTAACAGAAATTGGCCCATCTAAGGACAGTGGAGACATCATCAATGCCCTACGAGAGACTAAACGCTGTGAAGCTTTTTTTGGATAATGAACTTTCACTGAATAGACTGCGCAGACAGTTTGTAGAAGGCGAGGCAGGGGTCGACCACTGCGAATTTAGATACAAGACATTGAAGATGGATTGGCATTAAAAGCACATAGGACCAGAGAGCTGGCTAGGGAAAGGGCTTCTTGCAGGTGTGCCGGGAAGAGAGCGACGTTCTGTAAAGGACTTGCTGATTGATGATAAGACTGGGTAACCTGTGTGTGCCAATCAAATAAAACAGCGAGACAGGAAAACCATGCGGGAGCCACCTATCGTTACATCAACCAAAACAGAATGGGAAGTTGTTAGCCTAAAAACATTCAGTAGGCGAAGTCAAACACTACAAATACTCAGGAAGAGATCGGAGCACTTATGGTTACGTCCGATGTACGATTAAGATGGTCTTTAAACGAACAATAAACAATGAACAATAAACAATGAACAATGAGTCGGGTACACGTTAAGTGAAAGCATGTGGTTATAACTCGAAAACTTGAAGTCTTTTTTGGGAGGGGGGAAAGGGGGGGGGGGAGGGGTGTCTGTTTGCAATGCGATATAATGTATTTGTTCCTTTATTTGTTCATTCATTCATTTTTTTCATTCATTTATTCTTTCATTTATTTATTCATACATAAACTCCTTCATTCACTCATTTGTTCATTAACTAATTCATTCATTCATTCATTCTTTCGTTCGCTCGTTCGTTCATTCACTCATTGATTCATTCAATCATTCTGCCATGTGTCATTGAATAATTCGGCTATTCGTTCATTCACTGAGATCGACAAGTTACGAAACACTTACCCTCACAAGTCAGGTTGGCTAGAGCAGTTATAAGGGAAAATATTTGTGCATAACTCGGTATCTGGAAGACATTTTGTGGTCTGCTGGCCATGCCATACAGCTCATCCTGAGCGATATTACCAACACCAACTGCAATAACCTCTGCCTTCTGTGCTTTTACTCGATCCACAGATGCCAAAGCTAAAAATGTAAAGAAAACAGAAATACAGTTAATAGTTGTTAGTTAGTCCTATAAGTTAATGGTCGTTGGTTAGTCCTATAAGTTAATGGTCGTTAGTTAGTCCTATAAGTTAATGGTCGTTAGTTAGTCCTATAAGTTAATGGTCGTTAGTTAGTCCTATAAGTTAATGGTCGTTAGTTAGTCCTATAAGTTAATGGTCGTTAATGGTTTAGTCCTATAAGTTAATGTCCTATAAGTTAATGGTCGTTAGTTAGTCCTAGTTAATGTCCTATAAGTTAATGGTCGTTAGTTAGTCCTATAAGTTTAGTTAATAAGTCGTTAGTTAGGTCCTATAAGTTAATGGTCGTTAGTTAGTCCTATAAGTTAATGGTCGTTAGTTAGTCCTATAAGTTAATGGTCGTTAGTTAGTCCTATAAGTTAATGGTCGTTAGTCCTATAAGTCCTATAAGTTAATAGTCGTTAGTTAGTCCTATAAGTTAATGTCGTTAGTTAGTCCTATAAGTTAATGGTCGTTAGTTAGTCCTATAAGTTAATGGTCGTTAGTTAGTCCTATAAGTTAATGGTCGTTAGTTAGTCCTATAAGTTAATGGTCGTTAGTTAATCCTATAAGTTAATGGTCGTTAGTTAGTCCTATAAGTTAATGATCGTTAGTTGGTCCTATAAGTTAATGGTCGTTAGTCCTATAAGTTAATGATCGTTAGTTAGTCCTATAAGTTAATGGTCGTTAGTTAGTCCTATAAGTTAATGGTCGTTAGTTAGTCCTATAAGTTAATGGTCGTTAGTTAGTCCTATAAGTTAATGGTCGTTAGTTAGTCCTATAAGTTAATGGTCGTTAGTTAGTCCTATAAGTTAATGGTCGTTAGTCCTATAAGTTAATGGTCGTTAGTTATAAGTGGTCGTTAGTTAGTCCTATAAGTTAATGGTCGTTAGTTAGTCCTATAAGTTAATGGTCGTTAGTTAGTCCTATAAGTTAATGGTCGTTAGTCCTATAAGTTAATGGTCGTTAGTCCTATAAGTTAATGGTCGTTAGTTAGTCCTATAAGTTAATGGTCGTTAGTTAGTCCTATAAGTTAATGGTCGTTAGTTAGTCCTATAAGTTAATGGTCGTTAGTCCTATAAGTTAATGGTCGTTAGTTAGTCCTATAAGTTAATGGTCGTTAGTTAGTCCTATAAGTTAATGGTCGTTAGTTAGTCCTATAAGTTAATGGTCGTTAGTTAGTCCTATAAGTTAATGGTCGTTAGTTAGTCCTATAAGTTAATGNTCGTTAGTTAGTCCTATAAGTTAATGGTCGTTAGTTAGTCCTATAAGTTAATGGTCGTTAGTTAGTCCTATAAGTTAATGGTCGTTAGTTAGTCCTATAAGTTAATGGTCGTTAGTTAGTCCTATAAGTTAATGGTCGTTAGTTAGTCCTATAAGTTAATGGTCGTTAGTTAGTCCTATAAGTTAATGGTCGTTAGTTAGTCCTATAAGTTAATGGTCGTTAGTTAGTCCTATAAGTTAATGGTCGTTAGTTAGTCCTATAAGTTAATGGTCGTTAGTTAGTCCTATAAGTTAATGGTCGTTAGTTAGTCCTATTATGGTCGTTAGTCCTATAAGTTAATGGTCGTTAGTTAGTCCTATAAGTTAATGGTCGTAAGTTATGGTCGTTAGTTAGTCCTATAAGTTAATGGTCGTTAGTTAGTCCTATAAGTTAATGGTCGTTAGTTAGTCCTATAAGTTAATGGTCGTTAGTTAGTCCTATAAGTTAATGGTCGTTAGTTAGTCCTATAAGTTAATGGTCGTTAGTTAGTCCTATAGTAATGGTAGTCCTCTAGTTAATGGTCGTTAGTTAGTCCTATAAGTTAAGGGTCGTTAGTTAGTCCTATAAGTTAATGGTCGTTAGTTAGTCCTATAAGTTAATGGTCGTTAGTTAGTCCTATAAGTTAAGGGTCGTTAGTTAGTCCTATAAGTTAATGGTCGTTAGTTAGTCCTATAAGTTAATGGTCGTTAGTTAGTCCTATAAGTTAATGGTCGTCCTTAAGTTAAGGGTCGTTAGTTAGTCCTATAAGTTAATGGTCGTTAGTAGGTCCTATAAGTTAATGGTCGTTAGTTAGTCCTATAAGTTAATGGTCGTTAGTTAGTCCTATAAGTTACTGGCCGTTAGTTAGTCCTATAAGTTAATGGTCGTTAGTTAGTCCTATAAGTTAATGGTCGTTAGTTAGTCCTTACAGAATATTCCTTATATTTCCTCAAACAGCTAAATGGAGCAACCGAGATGTTTTGAAATAGGTGATGGTTCGAAGACAACCTATCACAAACATCAGAAAGAGACAGTCATCATTTTTGGTCATGTAATGAGAAGCGGAAAACTGGGGCATGTTGTGACCACCGGCAAGATCTGTGGAAACAGTGAAAGAGGAAGACAGCGCCAGAAGATTCTTGACAGCCTTTTGTCATGGCATGGAGGAGTCTCAACATATGAACAAATACACCCAGTTGAGGATCGCAGATTGTGAAGAGGCATGATCGCCTACGCCAGTCGGCATGTCACTTGATTATGAAGAGTTAGTCCTTAATTGGCGTTCCAACATCACTGTAGACTTGTTGCCCCATTACTGCTCCGTTGCATGCCAGCTGAAATAACAGAACATATTCTTCACTGTTCCATTTGAAAACTTGTGAGAATGTTGTCAGTCACAGCAAACTCTTGAAGCGTGCACATGCAAATAAAAAATGCATAAGGCAGCTATGAGATGTGCCAACACTAACGGTCCTATACCAGTATAGAAACTCACTGCTGGCGCAAACGGTCTGTCACGAAAGCTGGCATGTCACCTGCAAAAGTATACGCCATTTTCAACGTAATAAAGACTCTTTTCCACGACTTCAGCCGTATTGGGCACATAGGGCTAGACACATATTTTATAGATAAATCAGCATTATGTTAGTGATGTTTGATGATTCTCTGCTGGTGTCTTCTCATGATGTGTCAAATTAGCGTCATATTCTCTGTCTTATAACTGTTCATACTAATGGTTGCTTAGACATTTCTCCTATTTCTTCACTCCTTTTGAAACAGGGAAATATATCAGACACAATATTGTTCACTATCCCTTTTGTGTCCATATTATTTGATTGTTTTTTTTCTTCTTTTTCTTCTCTTCCACCAGTTACCCCAGCGAGGTGTTCAGGGGGAGATGTAAGGATCGTTTGTGCTCTTTTTTTCAATGCATTGGACAAGTTGGTGTTCATTTCTGTTTGGTTGCTCCTGATGGTGTCCCTCCATCTCTTTCCTAGTCTTCCCCGTGCTCTGTGTTCATGATATTTCTTCAGTGTGGCTCTCTGTGGCAGTTGGCACCAGTGCATTCTTGTCAGGTGGCCAAACCATCTCATGTGTTGTCCTTTAATGAATTTTATGACCGGTTTCAGTCATAGTCTTCTTCTAATTTCTCCGATTCTGATTTTATCTCTTCTTGTCACACCGGCATCTCTCCTAAGACATCTCATCTCTGTTGTTACGATCTTGCGCTCATTAGTTGTAGTAAAGGTCCAGGTTTGGCACTAGTAGCACAATATCAGCTTCAAAAAGCCCCCCTTCTTAAAATTTTTGCTTTAGTTGACAGAGGAATCTTTCAGTGTGTCAGAAGCAGGCGTTATCTGTCCCATAATATGATTTGCTCTTGCACATCGTATGTTGATTTCTCGGCTCTACTGGCAAATTTGGCCGGTAAGGTGGACTGCTTCGGCCGGATTAGCAGGACTTAGTGGGAGTTATGTCCCTTGGCCAAACTCAAAACAACTCAAAACAAGTCGCGGACAAAGTAACGAAACAAATGACATACTTACCTATCATCATCCGGGTGCGTGTAGGGTTGCGTAGGGTGTCTATCATCGTCCTACGGTTGCGTGTAGGGCTGCTTATTGCGTGTAGGGTTGGTTGTTTGCGTAAGATAGATGAGGGGTAGGGTTACGGGTTCGGGTTTAGGGTTTAGGGTTAGGGTTTAGGGTTTTAGGGGTTAGAGTTAGGGTTTAGGGGTTAGGGTTTAGGGTTTTAGGGGTTAGGGGTTAGGGTTAGGGTTTAGGGTTAGGGGTTAGGGTTTAGGGTTTTAGGGGTTAGGGTTTTAGGGGTTAGGGTTTAGGGTTTTAGGGGTTAGGGTTTAGGGTTAGGGTTAAGGTTAGGGTTTAGGGTTAGGGTTTAGGGTTTAGGGGTTAGGGTTTAGGGTTTAGGGGTATGGTTCGATTAAAAAATTTTCACCTAGGAGGTCGAAATAGTGGCCGACAATTTGACGTTTGTAGGAGTGGCGCCACTGAAACTCTGTCAAATATGACGACGCCAATAGCGGGCGGCTGGTGCCCAGTCGCTGGCGAATTGATCGTTTCACCAACATCCACAGGCCCTCGATTGTTTGTGTGTGTATGTGACTGTGCGCGACGTCGACGACGTTGGTCTGGTGGACTACTACCTCGTGCAGATAGATGGCATGCCTTACGTTTGCGACGTTGCTGTAGCTTCGCCATAAGCCTAACCCCTAACCCTAAACCCTAACCCTACACCCTATCCCAAACCCTAACCCATAACCCTAAACCCTAACCCTAACGCTAAACCCTAACCCTACCCCTCATCTTACGCAAACAACCAACCTACACGCAATAAGCAGCCCTACACGCAACCGTAGGACGATGATAGACACCTTACGCAGCCCTACACGCACCCGGATGATGATAGGTAAGTATGTCATTTGATTCGTGACTTTTTCCGCGACTTGTTTTGAGTTGTTTTGAGTTTGGCCACGGGGACATAACTCCCACTAAGTCCCGCTAAGCCGGCCGAAGCAGTCGACGCATTCAAGCTTACCGGCCAAATTTGCCAGTAGAGCCGATTTCTCTATCCATTCTTCCATATGAGGTGAAAAATCACCCTAGATATTTAAATTCACATGTTTGTTTAAATTATTTTATTTAAAAAAAAAAAAAAAGTTGCTTCCAAATAAAATTACTTGTTTTAGTGTCGGAAGAATTTCCATCTGTAACGGCAACAACAATATTGGGAGCGTCATATCTCCCACCTGCGGCTGGTCCAAACATGTCATCGTCAACAATCAGGTCAAATGCCAAGTGTGTGTTAGTGACGTCCCCTTGAAATGGCGTCTCCTGCAAGGCCTGGTGCAAGGAATCAAAGACCGTGTGCAGCAAGTACAACGACACATAAAACACACTGGAGAGTTGGTAAGAGGGAGAGAGAGAGAGGGAGAGAGAGGATCTTAACCCCATGAAAAAAAAAATTACACGGAGGGGAATTCCAATGGCCTTATCATTTTTTAAATAAACAAGAGAAATATAACAATAATACCAACAACAACAACAATAACAACAATAAAAACCAAAACGACAAAAATCACTGCCCATGTGTGCAATTATGTGTCACATAGGATTCGCAGTATATTCCCCCGTTCTGTCCGTTCGATATCATGGGTGGAACCAATTCAGTACCCTTGGCCTCTCTTATTACCGTTCGTTTTAGAGTTTCTTTTGACGTCCTTGCTTCTCCAATCGCTTTATTTCCAATATTCGTGCCTGTGTGGGGATTCTCTACTGGTTTCTTCTCGGGATGTCTCCAGTATAGCATCAACTTCTGTGTCTTTTAAGTGTCGTTTTCAGAGGTTGCCCAGACATGTTTACAATTGTTTCACTGCTCTGACTGACTGACTAACTTTCTATCCCACTAGGACATCACACAAGCGATAAACACCCGCTGACACAATGTGCCACCATGTGGATGAGGATCGCCGTGGAGAGGTCCCCGAAACCGCGTTCAGCCCCTAGGCCATATTTATGGCCAGGCTATATTGCAGCCCCTGGCAAGAGCCAGAGCAGGGCTTCAAACAACGAAAAATTTCATCCTAAAAAGGTCGAGAAGTATTGGGTTGATGCTTACAATCCACTGCTCTAGAATTCATCTCATTTTATATTCATAATTTTCCTCAAGCCCTTGTTTTTTCAACTTTGGTTCCACGTCTTTAGTTTTTCTACAGCGTTCACTAACTTATGTTGAAATTGAAATAAGATTAGAAATGAAAATACGTGACTTGGTTTGAAACTATTCAACACAGAGTTCCATACTCTAAGTCTTTTTTTTTTTTTTTAAGCTGGTATGTCCTCACAAGTCATCGGTTCGAGTCCTGACCGAGCCACCCTTTTTTTTCCTTCAAAAATTACATTGGCTCCCATGTCGACTCAGCCTTGAGTGGGGGTGAGGTGCAGTCCTGGGAAGTAAAGGTGGCCGGCGTGATGCTGACTATGTCACCCACAAAGTGCCGATTAGTCTAAATATAGGGTTAGCCCTATACGCCTTACGCCTTAGGACACTGAAAAAGTTCCTTCAATTTTGTTTACATTTTTTTTTTAAATTACTGCTTTAAATCTTGTTTTTGTTTTCGTTCCTAGTGTTACATCTAACTTAATAATAATAATAATAATTGTAATAATATTAATAATAATAATAATAATAATAATAATAATAATAATAATAATAATAAAAATAATTGTAATAATAAGTGTCCGGAAGAGCAAATACATATAATCATATAAAATGTATGAACACATTTTTAACGGAGAGGGCGCGTGAGGGGGGGAAAAAAAAAGGGGGGGGGGGGGGCTTCCATACATGTTGGGAAAAAAGGGGAGAGGGATCCATACATGTTGGGGAATAAAAAGAGGGGGGAGGGGTGGTGAAAAAAGAAAGAAAGAAAGAAAGAAAGAAAGAAAGAAAGAAAGAAAGAAAGAAAGAAAGAAAGAAAGAAAGAAAGAAAGAAAGAAAGAAAGAAAGAAAGAAAGAAAGAAAGAAAGAAAGAAAGAAAGAAAGAAAAAAGAAAGAAAGAAAGAAAGAAAGAAACACATTAAGAAAGAAAGACAGAAAGAAAGAAAGAAAGAAAAAAGAAAGACAGACAGAAAGACAGACAGAAAGACAGAAAGAAGAAAGCAAGAAAGACAGAAAGAAAAGAATAAAGAAGGGGAGAAGAAAAAACAGAAAGAAGAGGAAGAGGGAAAACAAGAAAAAAAAAGGAGAAAAAGAAGATAAAAGAAAAAAGAAGGAAAGAAAAAAGACAAAAAGAAAGAAAGACAGAAAGAAAGAAAGAAAGAAAGAAAAGAGGAGGAGGAGAAGAAAAAGAAGCGAAAGAAAAGAGGAAAACAAGAAGAAAAGAGAAGAAGAAGAAGAAGAAGAAGAAGAAGAAGAAGAAGAAGAAGAAGAAGAAGAAGAAGAAGAAGAAGAAGAAGAAGAAGAAGAAGAAGAAGAAGAAGAAGAAGAAGAAGAAGAAGAAGAAGAAGAAGAAGAAGAAGAAGAAGGAGAAAAATAATAAAAAAAATAATAAAAAGAAGAAGAAGAAGAAGAAGAAGAAGAAGAAGAAGAAGAAGAAGAAGAAGAAGAAGAAGAAGAAGAAGAAGAAGAAGAAGAAGAAGAAGAAGAAGAAGAAGAAGAAGAAGAAGAAGAAGAAGAAGAAGAAGAAGAAGAAAAAGAAGAAGAAGAAGAAGAGGAAGAAGACGAAGAAGAAGACAAAGATGAATATACCTTGCTGACAGACTCATAATCACTGTATGTCTTCAGATCAAACACCTTATTTGCTGTCTTGCTGAAGACAATGGCTGCAACTCGGACATTATTGGGCCCAATGTTGAAGGCGGTCAACAGTCTCGATAGGAAATACAGAAGGTACTTGAATGTCGTGCTGACTATACTGCCAGATGCATCCATGACGAGAATAATATCCGCCGACATGGCTGGGCAATGCTCAACTGGCGACAAACAGACAATAAAGTTTATGGTATCAACTTTTAACAAATGACACCAAAAGAGCACTACCAAATATAGTAATTTTTGGACACACTTTTTTACCAGTGCCAAACGCTTATATTAGCCAGGAGAGAAAAAAATAAAAACAAAAGTTGTAACAACAGAAATGAAATGTTTACGATGAATTCTACACGCAACTAGATGGGACGGGGTCAGAAATGAGGACGTAAGGAAAGAAAATGGGACAGAATCGATATTAAGCTACATCAAGAGACAACAAATCACATTGTTAGGGCATGCGTCAAGCCAACCAGCACACAGTGCACTTATTCTTTTTTCTTCTTCATCTTCTTCTCTTCCACCTTGTACCTCTTGGAAGTGTCAGGAGGAGTTGTAACATTCATTGATGAGCTCTGTCAAGAGCACTATTAAGACTGATGGTCATTTCTGTAAGGCTGTTTTTAATGCCATCACTCCATATTTTCCGAAGTCTTCCACTCGCTCTATACCCGTTTAGTGCACAGTGCACAACACTTTGAACTAATGGAAGCTGGGCCAGAGGTTCACCTTGCAAGCAATGGATAGAAGTAATAGCTGAAGCCTTAAATACCCGCATATGCGTTGCCCATACTAAACTCTTATTTTAACGTGAAATCAGTACTTTTAGGTGAGGCGGAAACACGGAGAACAACTAAGGCAATTACTAACACACTACAGACATTCATTAACTGGTGCCTGAGCAGAATAGAAGGGATTAAATGGTATGACAGAATCACTAATGTAGAGCTTTGGGAGAGAACTAAACAAGCTCCAGTGGACCAAGAGGTGAAGAAACGACGCTGGCGTTGGATAGGACACACATTGAGAAAACAGGAGAACAATATAACTAAAATGTCTTTGCACTGGAACCCACGGGAGCATAGGAATAAAGGAAGGCCAAAAAAAAAAAAAAAACATGGAGAAGGGAGATGGACAATGAAGTTAGAAAGATGGGGGAGGATATGGGGAGAGCTGCATACAATTTCAATTGGTGATTTTTATGAGGATCTATGCTCCATTGGGGGCTAGAAGAAGAAGGGGGGAAAAAAGAGAGGCAGAAAAAGAATACTTAACTCTCACCCAATTCCTATTCAAAACCTGATGTTGAAGGACAGAACAAGTCCAGAGAAGAGGAAACGTATTTGGAAGGTTTTAAAAGTCAGTGTAAGGATATTGTGGAGGTAATGAGAATCAGTTTGAAATAAATAAATCTCCAAGATGTCAAAAGTGAATATAGTTCTTTTTCAGTATTCACAGGTTATAAACTCCGGCAGAAAGTCCTGGTTGTTCGCCCACTTCTGGTCTTTGGTACTGTTCGCGGACTTCATTGATGTGTTCACATTCGTTTTACAGATGTAGCTTGCTTGTATGCAGACTGTTGATTCCTTTTCCCCCAGACAGATGCGCTCCGGCTTCAAAGAAAAATTTGATCCGTTGGTAATGCACACGGACAGGATTCTGCTTCTGGGAAGCTTCTCGAAAATATAGATCTTGCCCTGTAAGCCCAATACGCACAATGGTGTGGATAACGGTCCTTTAATTCAAAAAAAAAAAAAAAAAAAAAAAAATCTAATGTTCACTTGCTCCAAAAGACAGTGAGCACAAATAGCTTCCTTTATTCTTAGAATACCATGAATAAAGAAGAGGAAAAACATCGACATCCTTCATGAGTTGAACCTCAAGGAGAACTGACTCATAAACAGCATCCTGTCCTGAAAGTTGAAGTATTCTGGCCACATCAAGCGGTATGATGGCTTAGAAAAGACGGTGGTGGAAGGTGTAGTTTGTGGAAGGCGAGGCAGGGGTCGACCACCGTGAAGATAGATACAAGACATTGAAGATGCATTGGCACTGAGAGCGCATGGAGCCGGAGAGCTGGCTAGGCGAAGGGTTACTTTCAGATGTGCCATGAAGAGAGCGACGTTATGTAAAGGACTTTCTGATTGATGAGCTTTTGAAGAAACAATTAACCCCCAAGTGCTGTAACATTTTCGCCTTAGCTATAACTTTCCTCTTCACGTTCAACGGCTGTAAACTCTGGGGAAAATTTCTTGTTGTTCGTCCACATCTGGACATTCGTCTTGTTTCAGAACCTGATTGTTGCGTGCACATACGTTTTACAGATCTGACTTATTTGTATGCAAATTGTTCATTTCTTCCCTCTCAGGCAGATGTACTCTGACTTCGAAATTAGCATCCAGTTAGTCGACTCTTACGACATGATTGTTGGGGACACAGTGGTTATATTCTTGTTTTCCCCAGAATGAGGTCCCGGAACCCAAAGGGCGAACCATAACCAAAGAATGCAGATTTACCACTTCTGTTGCAGTTTACCTTTTTCTGATGCGGATAAATAACTCTCTTAGAAAGTAAACTCCTTTGAAGACATCTTCAGTACTTTTTTGATCCCTCGTGTTCTCATCCTTCTCCTGTAACATCACATCTCTGCCTCTATCCCATAATTTTTCACTAAAAGGGTGACTCCACGACTGTAAAGTAATGGGCCTTTTCCCCACGCTTTCAGACGTATTAGGCATATTGGGCATACAGAGCAAGATCTATATGTTACAGACCAGTCGGCACTCTGTAGGGTTGTGTAGTCAAAACTACGCCGGCCGCCTTTACTTCCCAAGAAGTAAGCATTATAACTGGGTCGACCTGTGTCTCAGGGTCATTTAAAAAAACAAATGCCCGGATCTGACAGGATCTGAATCATCGACCTTCTGATCCCCAAGTGAGCCTCTAGTTGCAACACCATTGCTCATGGAATACATTACATCGGCTTAAAACACGTGAATACATTTTGCTACCTTCCAACGAAGTTATGTGTGTATTTATGTAAAGAACTCTTGTCCAGACCTTTATGCGTTTTGAGCATATAAGACTAGTTAGTTAGTTGTGTATCCTTTACATGACGTTGCAAAACCCAGCATTTTTTTTTTTTTGCCTATGTGATTTTCCTACGCAGGTTTACGTCCAGTAGTTTGCCACTGTGTTTGGACGGTCGGCTTCTCGATACCACTGTCGAAACCAACGCAAGGCGCAAGACCCACAGCTGGGATCGAACCCGGCACTCCGGCGTTACAAAGCGCGCTCGTAACGCCTAAGCCACAGACGCCGACATATTAGACTAGGCCCATATTTAATAGATAAAACTGTACTAGGCGGGTGATGTGGTCAGCATTAGGCTAGCCGCCAATACTTCCCAGGACTTTACCTAGTACCCATCAAAGGCTGGGCTGACATAAGGTGTATGTATGTGTATACAATAAAATGAAAGAAATATATAAAAGAATAGGCAAGTAGCGATAACTCGTTAGCTAGCTTCTTTGCTAGGTGGACAGAGACAGACTAGCAGACATATATTCAGGCAAGCAGACAGGGAGACAGACAAGGAGACCCATAGGCTGCAGGCAGAAAAGAAGACAGACACGCAGAAAGATAAGCAGACAGGTAGACAGGTAGACAAAGTGATAAAAATCAGATACATACCAAATACGGGTACTTCTGAAATGCATAAGATAACATTTAAACGATTTCAATGGAAATCAAAGGTGAGGGACACACACACACACACACACACACACACACACACACACACACACACACACACACACACACACACACACACACACACACACAGCACACACAGCACACATTAACCATATGCCACAGACAGACAGGAAAAACAAATATCAACATAAATCTGGAACATTTTTTTTCCCCAGTCATCAACATGTAGTACAGAGATGCCAGGTTTGGCGGGTTGGCATTCTAAAGGAAAGCCAGTCTGTATAGAAAAGTCAAAGACATGGCAACACTGACTTCCTAGTCACCCGTGGCCTTCTCATCTGGAAAACTAGTGGCTTATGAATAAGTCGTCCCCATGTGGGAAATGGAAATAGAAATGGATATCGTAAAAAATAAATTCTTGTCAGATTTAGCCAGCTCCTAGAATGAGCAGCGGCTTTCTCCTGACTTCGTTCATTTTATGCGTTTCGTAACGCTTAGTTTGGCCAGAGCTAGCCAGCACGCTGTTGTTTCCGGAATCAGGACATTCATCAGCTACACCGTCTTGAACCATGTAGCCGTCACTGAGCCACCAAACACAAGGCCCTTTTCAGGGTCCCACATTTAATATCTTTTTGGACTTTTTTTTTTTTTTCGCATCATACATGCGTATATGCGTGAGCTGAGAGTGCCTCCCATGTGAGATGCAATTTTTTGTTATTTGGAGCCGCACCCTGGCTTCTGCCGGGGGCCCAGAATATAGCCGGGCCATACATATGGCCAAGGCTATAGATATGGCAAAACGGCTGAAAGTAGTTTCTGGGACACGTCCACGGATGATCCTCATCCGCACGGTGGTACTTTGTGTCACCTGGTGTTTATCGCTTGTGTGATGTCCTAGTGGGGTACAACTACCTACCAACCAGTGACCATGAGAAAGACCAAGAAGAAGATTCACTAATGAAATGTAATGATGTAATCAATGAAAGATACTGAAACATTAATCAAAAGGTAGCTGTAGAAATCCAGTTGCTAAACTCTTTCTCTCATACTTTTGAATCTCAGCACTCCTGCAGTAATTGTCCTTCTAATGTTTAATTATTGAGCTGAGATGACTTGAGTTAGAAAACGACATCACAGAACTCGGGACATTTCCACAAGCGGTCCGTCTACATCCTCAGCAGGATTGGTGGAATTCCAATTCCGATGGTGCCAGTTGCCTTTTGATTGTATGTCCGTCTCGTCTTCCCCTTGAGTGTTGAGCGTCGGCCAGATCGCCTGGTCACTCCCAGCTGCACCATCTCCTCAGACCGTGGCGATCTATTTGTGCCTGCGCACTGTTCACTCACTCCCGAAGGACCTTAACAAAATATAGCTTAGCAAGCACCACTTTACCAGCCAATGGTGCAGAGCAGGCCAGTCGGTCTGCCTATTCGTTTCCCAGTACACCTGCATTTCCTGGAGAAAAGATGCCGAGACAATCCAGGATCTCTAAAGCGATTCCTTCCACTCTGAATATAGCATACCTGTCTCTGCTGTTCTGAACACTCTTTGTAGTTACAATCTGATCATTTGTGTGCATCTGGTTTTCAAGCCAATGAATGCTGCAGTGACCGCCTCCATCTCCATTCGCAAAATGGATGTTGTGATATAATATGCCAGGCTTATGTTTTTAATTACTTAGCAATTGTATTCATATACATAGGACCCTTTGCCACGCCTTTAGTCGTATACGGCATATAGGGCTAGACCTATATTTTATAGATCAATCGGCACAAGATGGGTGATGTGGTCAGCATCACGCTAGTCGCCTTCACTTCACGAGACTGCACCCTGTACCCACTTAAGGCTGGGTCGACCTGGGAGCTTAGGTCATTTTTGAAAAAAGTCCGGCTCAACCAGGGAGCGAACCCACGACTTTCCGATCCGCAGCGAGCGTCTAGCAACTCTGCCATGGCCATTCCCTATTCATATTCATGTATAAATATATATAAACACACACATGCACATACATTTACATATGATTTCAGTGGCAAGAAGTCATTTTTTTGCAGCAGGCACTTACCTTCTGTTGGTACGGGTCTGTCTGCAAATAAAGATGTGAAACGTTAACAATACCTTTTTCAGGCATACAGTGATTTCAGAGAGTATAACATCCCTAAATGAAATATAGAAACATACCTCAAAAGGCATTACAACTCTTAAACAACGAACACAATCACCTCAGCGTTATCATCACCCTCTTTATGACCATAATGATATCGAAATCATCACTGACCTTAATACCGTCTTAAAAATTATAAACATCATCAGCACTACCACATCTACTACCCCTTATCGCCATCGCTTGAAAAACATCAACTCAACCATCGTCATCATCAACATCATGTAAGTTTAAAAACAAATAGTTTCTTCGTCTCCAGGAATGCAGCACGCAAGATCGACATATCAACAATGAGAATCGCACAAGACATATTTCAGAAACGGTGTTCAAAATCACAGCTAGCACAGGTATATTGGGGCACCACAAATGGTTCAGAAGCAGTCTGAAGTCCAGTGTGAAGTGTCTAATGATGTATCATCATCATCACCACCATTATCAATATCCTCACTATGACACCTCCTCATGTAGCAGGTCCTTTGCAGAACGTAGCTCTCATCACGGTTTACCTGAAAGAAACTCCGTCTCTCGCCAGCTCTCCCGCTTGGCGCTGTATTATTTTCAAGGAGTCACTTAGATCCTGTGCGTATCTACGTGTTGGTCGGCCCCTGCCCCTCCTTTCTGGTACCATGCGTTTTTGCTATTGCTGTTTTTCCGCATCGGCCATGGCACTTGAAATGACCAAAATATTTCAGCTACCTACATAATTATCACAGCAGTCGCAGTCTAGAGCGCTGGCATTAGAAACTTTAGGGAAGGGAAGTGAGGTAGGCATGGGGTTTAGCTCTTTACGGAATTGTTAGTGTATGCACTAAACAAAGAGACGTACACTGATTGGCACTCAGGGAAAGAAATAGAAAGATAGACAAGCACACCAGACGACATAGGAATGGAAAGCTGAAGTGACCAAGCCAGAAAATGAACTTGTCACCTGCAGATGTCGACAGTGCCCTCTGCAGAACGCCTGTACTAAGATGCATGGTTAATTAGACAATCCACAAAGAGACCTGTATCGAATTCATTATAGTTTATTGATTCTCTAGATATCTCGGGTGTTCCGGGAGGGTGGAGGAAATGGATCGCTCGTCTTGTTCAACGATAGCAATAATAATAAGTTTTATAATTATTTGGTTAATTGCAAATTTCAATTATAATATATTTGCATATTATGAAATCTATTTTTTAACAAAAAATTAATTATTTGAAAAAGAACTTCAGTACGTAATTGTGAGGGGAAGGGTTAAAGATAGGGGCGTAGATGCTTAGTGTCATTACAAATTAAATGTAGGCGAAGAGGGGTGGAGGAACACCCCCCCCCCCCTCCCGGAGACGGGTTGAGATACGTGCGCAGCAGCGATCAGTACCAATCACAGCAGATTATAGATGTTGCTTGCTTGCTTGTTGTACCCCCCACCAAGACATCACCCAAAGGATCAACACCCGGTGACACAAAGTGCCACCATGCGGATGAGGATAAACTATGGAGAGGTTCCAGAAACCCTTTTCAGCCGCTAAGGTCACAACTATGGCCCGGCTATATTCAGGGCCCCCGGCAAAAGCTAGGATGGGGCTTCAGATAAAGACAAATTGCATCCCACAAGGGGATGCCTTAAAGTATATATATTATAACAGATGGGAACAAGAAATATCCATTCAGATCAGCTATTTGCGTAAACAGTCCGCCTCATCAACATTTCGCTATGAGCTGATAGGGCCAAGAATATATAGTGAGTCATTGCAATATTGTCCTCTGTGTGTGCATGTTAGAGGCCAGTTCGGCTACGGGATGAACGGAGTTGATGATAGTGACTCATCACGTATAAACGAGCTGACCCTCAGTATAGCTCAGTGTGAGAGCGGGCAACTTGACCACGGAATAAACTGGGTCGAGTTAACTGGCTAAGCCCAAGGTCACACGGTTAACACGGACTATCGCGTGTCGAGTGATGAACGCAGGAGGGGAACAAAAAGCTAAGATAGGCTGTGTTTCCATATAATGCTTCGACGAGATATTGTAGAGTTAATGTTCCTTGTATAGTAGACGTTCCATGCAGTATTTGTTAAGCATCTAGTGAGCGTGTGACACGCAATGTTAATGGCGGTATCACTGCCCAGTCACGCTTAGGCCATACACCTTACGTGTGCCGCTGAGTCCCGTGTGGCAATAGACGGCGGCTTAGTTAGCACTGATAAACTGTTAGTTTGGAATCGTGTCCTTTGCGATCCATGGGAACGGCTTGGTTTGATCAGTGAATGTAAAAGCTGCTCAACGCTAACGTTTCGGATAAGGACTGCCGACTTAGTTGAGGCTCTCTAGATGTATTGTTCATTGTACATTAAAGATTATGTTTACACTCAGCAGGTGCGTGTCTTGAGTGTGTCCAGGGTAGTGAAGTCTGTTAGCTGGCCTACATAGCGAGCCATAGAAAATGAATACAGTAAATTAGGTCGCTGACAGTGCATATACTTTTATATTCGTCCCAAGGAATGCAGGCGTTGTTGGTAATAAGAGAGCTGATAGACTGGCAGGTGCTGCATTAATTGAAGATTGCCAGCCCATAGATCACGCAGACATTGTCATCGCCCTTAGAGAGATAGGACGTTCTGAGGATTTTAGAAGCAACGTGTCCACATCACTGCTAAGAATACGTGAACTGGGAGTAAAGATCGGCACAGCCAAGCATGAAAAGCACACCGGACGCACACGAAGTCGTGTTAACCAACATAGGACTGGTACTATTAACCGCACGACGCTGATGCATATGTTGAGAGGGGAATCTGAGCCCCTATGGATGTGTCCGGAGTGCTGTGAAGATAATCTTACTCATACCTCATAACTCATATATAGAGAGTACTAAGAGCCATGACAATGTTTCAAATCACTCATGTCACAATCTAATGTATAGTTATAACAAACACTGTGTAATTTTTCTGAGAAAATTGCAGACTGGCAAGCATCACTTCAGAGGACCTGGGTAGTTAGCATCCTTTATATATTTTCTCCAGATCATGCCAGTGTGTCGGTAAATGAGCAGGCAGATAAACTGGCAGGTTCTGCACTAAAGAATTGATGTGTGACAAGCCAGATTTTGTAAGGGCCCTTTGGGAAGAGTGCGGAGGCGCAGATAGATCATTACGGTCTAAGGAAAATAGCGCTGCGAAGAGTTACCAGGGGATGTGGCCGACGATCAACACTCAGGGGAAGGGTGAGTCGGATATACAATCAGACGGCTACTGGTGCCATCGGAATTGAAACTCTTCGCATGCTGCTGAAGATGGGGACGAAGCACTTATGAGAGTGTCACGAGTGCTATGAATTCGATTTTTTTATACAACATTCAACATTGTAGGGAAAAAAAAAACACACACACACATACACACAAAATTCAACATACCGATTATTTCCCCATTTTCTGTGGAAAGGATTAAAAAACATAAAGTTTAAAATAAATAAAACAAGTAACATTAGATGATTTAACAGGCTACTTCTTCAGCTTATTTTCTTTCTTTCTTTCTTTCTTTCTTTCTTTCTTTCTTTCTTTCTTTCTTTCTTTCTTTCTTTCTTTCTTTCTTTCTTTCTTTCTTTCTTTCTTTCTTTCTTTCTTTCTTTCTTTCTTTCTTTCTTTCTTTCTTTCTTTCTTTCTTTCTTTCTTTCTTTTTTTCTTTTCTTCACTTCTTTCTTTCTTTCTTTCTTTCTTTCTTTCTTTCTTTCTTTCTTTCTTTCTTTCTTTCTTTCTTTCTTTCTTTCTTTCTTTCTGTCTTTCTTTCTTTCTTTCTTTCTTTCTTTCTTTTCTTTTCTTTTCTTTCTTTCTTTCTTTCTTTCTTTCTTTCTTTCTTTCTTTCTTTCTTTCTTTCTTTCTTTCTTTCTTTCTTTTCTTTCTTTCTTTCTTTCTTTCTTTCTTTCTTTCTTTCTTTCTTTCTTTCTTTCTTTCTTTCTTTCTTTCTTTCTTTCTTTCTTTCTTTCTTTCTTTCTTTCTTTCTTTCTTTCTTTCTTTTATTTACTTCTTTCTTTACTTCTATACTTTCTTCCTTCATTCTTACTTGCTTTCTTTCTTATTTTTATCTTTCATTTTTTTTTCTTTCTTTCTTTTTATGTGCAATCCTCTTTCTCAGCATTATACCCAACATCATCGTTATAATTACTTTTGTTTTCTTCTTGAGTATTAAAATTACAATAATAGTAATTATTAAGTTACTCCTGCTCTTTCTCTTTATCCACCCATCCTCAACCTTCATCCCCCTCTTTCTCTTCTTTTTATCTCTATATTTTCATCTACAGATAAGCGTTTTAAAGAAGAATAAAAATTGACGACATGGGGTGGGCGGACCGTCTTCTGTGTTTTCTTTATAAGCTCTGTATAAGTTGGTCTTCATTTTCGTAAATTTGCTCTTGACGCTTCGTTCCTTCTTTAAGATGATCATCTGACCCTGTGTTTATGATTTTGCTCAAAAGTGACAGTCTCTTTAGATGGCTGAACTATTTCACCACTTTTTTAATGAATAATTGTGTTTATTTCAGGTCGATTCAGGGTCATCATCATTTAGCAGGTCTTTTGCAGAACGTCGCTCTCATCACGGTCTGAATGACAAAAACTCTTGTCTCTCGCCAGCTCTCCCGCCTCGTGCACTTTCATATTCAAGGAGTGACTTACATCCTATATCCATCTTCGTGTTTATCGGCCCTGATCTTCCTTTCTGGTAATTTGCTTTCCGGTATTGGTTTCCAATCAGCGTGGTGCTTTTTGTATACTTCTTCTTCTTCAGATTTCGAACCCTCTAGGTTCATTGCAGCAGATATCACCTGCCTTGACTCATCTCTCTGGTTGGCCTACTCTTTCCAATTGGTGACACCAAGCGTTTGTAGTCTGTCTGGGCATTATTTCTTCTTGGTCTCCCTCGTGGTCTACGACCATTCATCTCCCTTGTGTGTACAATTTTCACTCTCTGTCATATGACATTCTCTTAATATGCCCCAACTATTTCAGTCTATTAGCGCTCATGATGCCAGTGATCAATAGTGATTTAAAGAGATTTCCAATTTCGTTTATTCTTCTGCTTGATATGGCCAAAATATTTTACTTCCGCGACAAAAATGCGGTGTATTAGCCAATTTTCCTTGATGTAAAGATCTTTTAGAATGTCGGTATGTCTTCTGTTCTTTGTTCATGGTAATCCGAGAATCTTTCAATAGTATTTCAGCTAAACAGCTTCTCTTTCGACTAAGCCTACAGAGGGTAGTGAGTCGCCTTGGCGTTGGCGACTAGACGCCTGCTGCCGATAGGAAGGTATTGGGTTCGGATCCTGACGGAGCCGGATTACTATAACTCCCAGGTCGACCCGGTCTCTAGTGGGCACCAGGTGCAGTCCTGGGAAATAAAGGCAGCCAGCATGATGCTGACCACATCACCTACCAAGTGCCGATTGGTCTTTAAAAATATAGGTCTAGCCCTGAATTCCCAATACGAGCAAAGTCGTGGAAAAGGGACCTATACTTTACCTTACTACACCGGGAAGACAAAATAAGGAGCAGAAGAAGACGAAGAGGAAGATGACGACGATGATGATAATGAAACAGAAGCAGCAACAACAGCAGCAGCAAGAGAAGTCGACTTACCATCAACTTCGAAAATTCTGTACAGCCCATCTTCAGTAAGTACACACTTGAGCACAGTATTTTCATGTTGCCACAAGGAGTTCAGAGCATGACATTCGTTGTCCACGTTCCACAAACACCCTGTAATAAAGAGGTTTCTAATTTCAATTAGGAAGTAGATATCACCTTTTCAGCCAGCCTCCTTCCCTGCCCTTTTAACATTTTGTAGTTTCGGGGCTCAATGGGCTCAAGTCCTGTTTAGGCACACTATAATAATATGTCGCGGCGTTGCCGTGGCGTTGCCAGTTCGACTCGTAATTCCAACGTACGGCGATCAAAACCCACACTTGGCTGCGTGGATTTTTATCATGGTACGGGGCGTCACGGGTCGACCCAGCCTAAAATGGGTACCAGGATGTATGTCCTGTGGAAGTTAAGACGGCCGGCGTAATGCTGACCACATTACCCGCCTAGTGCCGATTGGTCTGTAAAAAATATGGATACTATTCCCATATACCCGCTGCATCTGAAGGCGTGAAAAGGGTTCTTCACTTTTTATAATAATATGTCAGTACTGTTTTTAATATTGTTTTTATCATTATTATGTTGTTGTTGTTCGTCTATCACAAAGTGATAAGGACCACTCTTTCTTTTTTATCCGGAGGTGGCTTTTAAGCCCAATACGATCCGAAAGAATCTAGGACAGTAAAGGCAGGGTACAGTGTCTGTAGCGCTTCGTCCCCATTTTCAGCAGCATGTGAAGAGTTTCCATTTCAATGGCACCTTAACTGTCTGATTGTATACCCATCTCGCCTTTCTGTATATCCATCTCGCCTTTCTGTATATCCATCTCGCCTTTCCTTATACCCATCTCGCCTTTCCTTATACCCATCTCGCCTTTCAGTATATCCATCTCACCTTTCTGAACATCCATCTCGCTTTTCCGTATATCCATCTCGCCTTTCCTTATATCTATCTCGCCTTTCAGTATATCCATCTCGCTTTTCCGTATATCCATCTCGCCTTTCCTTATATCTATCTCGCCTTTCAGTATATCCATCTCGCCTTTCTGAACATCCATCTCGCTTTTCCGTATATCCATCTCGCCTTTCCTTATATCTATCTCGCCTTTCAGTATATCCATCTCGCTTTTCCGTATATCCATCTCGCCTTTCCTTATATCTATCTCGCCTTTCAGTATATCCATCTCGCTTTTCCGTATATCCATCTCGCCTTTCCTTATATCTATCTCGCCTTTCAGTATATCCATCTCGCCTTTCCTTATACCTATCTCGCCTTTCTGAACATCCATCTCGCTTTTCCGTATATCCATCTCGCCTTTCCTTATATCTATCTCGCCTTTCAGTATATCCATCTCGCCTTTCCTTATACCTATCTCGCATTTCTGTATATCCATTTCGCTTTTCCGTATATCCATCTCGCCTTTCCTTATATCCATCTCGCCTTTCAGTATATCCATCTCGCCTTTCCTTATAGCCATCACGCCTTTCCTTATATCCATCTCGCCTTTCCTTATATCCATCTCGCGTTTCAGTATATCCATCTCGCCTTTTCTTATATCCATCTCGCCTCTCCTTATATCTATCTCGCCTTTCAGTATATCCATCTCGCCTTTCAGTATATCCATCTCGCCTTTCAGTATATCCATCTCGCCTTTCAGTATATCTATCTTGCTTTTCAGTGTACCAATCTCGCCTTTCTTTATGTCACAGTTGGGTATACATTTTAAAGAGGGGATAGAAGAAGAAGAGAAGATATAAAAGTAGAGAGAGACAGACGAGAAGAAATAATAGTCAAAGGATGTATAAGAGGACAATAGGTTCTCCTGTGTGGAGAGTGTAGTAATAAGTCTACACCCCAAACGATCAGGTAATAGTCAGTGGAGGTCTTATGCAGGAGAGAGTAGATGTATAGTAAAGTGGTGGTGGCATAAAGACTACAGAGACTAACAATAATAGTACCACTCCTATACTCAACAAACTAACGATGGAATAAAAGAATAACAACTAACAATCATGTTTATTAAGAAACAGCATTACAAAGTCGTCTATCTCATGTTACACAACCGACAGATGTTATATTATGTTATAAACAGAACGTCCTCACACTATAAAACTCAGCAACTGACAGCAGAATCCACTCAACGATAAACTAGTAAATGGCGCCTAGAATATCCTTCATCGCTCTACAAATAATAAGCCAAATAACAACTACAATCTAACCATCTACTCCAATGCCAAATACCGACTACCATCTAACCGTACTGCTGATTGCAGTCCAAAGACCAGCAAACCTATAGCCAAATACCGACTACCATCTAGCCATACTGCTGATTGCAGTCTAGATACCATCTCCAACTAAAGCCAAATACCGACTACCATCTAGCCATACTGCTGATTGCAGTCTAGATACCATCTAACTATAGCCAACCCGGCACACCATGACATAAACTGCCATGTCACATAACATGAAGCAATATTTCGTGCATTATCTGGCAAGTCACACAACATAATTATGGACTTAGCTCCATCGTAGCGACATGATCAGAATGTTCACAGCATCCTTTGTTGGCGGAGATCTCAGTGCAAGTGTCTCTGTCAGGGCTCACAGAAGTGTATATACCCCTGACGCTACCCCTCTCCTTTGTACTTGAGTTCCTGAAACTGTGTCTTCTAAGGTTCATGAACCTTTCTCTTTCCCGCCTTAGATGGTATTCCAAGCCACTTTGCATATTTAGATGGAAAATCCCCAGGAAATCTTGTGTCGTTGCCTTTGTTCGTTGTCTTGTCTCTGTTAATTTATGAGTATATTGGCCTACAAAGTTCATGATTGGCTTGGCCCCGCACCTACGCCTAAAGTCAATGTCCTCAAGGTTGCTATACAATGTAGCGACCTTCTTTATCTCAAGCGACTCTATAACTCCTTATTCCTCCGTGTGTTTCTTTCCTTCTATTTCCTTATTGTAATAAACGTGACTGTAATCAGTACTGTCACATTTATACCCATCTCGCCTTTCCGTATATCCATCTCGCTTTTCCGTATACCCATCTCGCTTTTTCGTATATCCATCTCGCCTTTCCTTATATCCATCTCGCCTTTCCTTATATCCATCCCGCCTTTCAGTATATCCATCTCGCCTTTCAGTATATCCATCTCGCCCTTCCTATACCCATTTCGCCTTTTCGTATATCCATCTCGCCTTTCCGTATACCCATCTCGCCTTTCAGTAAATATCCATCTCGCCTTTCAGGATATCCATTTCGCTTTTCCGTATACCTATCTCGCCTTTCCGTATATCCATATCGCCTTTCCGTACACCCATCTCGCCTTTCCGTATATCCATCTTGCCTTTCCGTATATTTATGTCGCCTTTCCGTATATCCAACTCGCCTTTCCGTATATGCATCTTGCCTTTCCGTATATCCATTTTGCCTTTCAGTATATCCATCTCGCCTTTCCGTACATCCATCTCGCCTCTACGTAAATCCATCTCGCCCTTCCTATATCCATCTCGCCTTTCCGTATATCCATCTCGCCTTTCTGTATATCCATCTCACTTTTGCGTATATCTATCTCGCCTTTCCGTATATCCATCTCGCTTTAACATATATCCGTCTCGCCTTTCCGTATATCCATCCAGCCTTACCGTATACCCAACTTGCCTTTTCGCATACCCATCTCGCCTTTCCGTAGACCCATCTCGCCTTTCCGTATATCCATCTCGCCTTTCCGAATATCCATCTCGCCTTTCAGTATATCCATCTCGCCTTTCAGTATACGAATCTCGCCTTTCCGTATATCCATCTCGCCTTTACGTATACCCATCTCGCCTTTACGTATACCCATCTCGCCTTTCCGTATATCAATCTCGCCTTTCAGTATATCCATCTCGCCTTTCAGTATATCAATCTCGCCTTTACGTATATCCATCTCGCCTTTACGTATACCCATCTCGCCTTTACGTATATCCATCTCGCCTTTATTTTTTGGAATAGCCGAATTTAATCGGATCTGCCTGCCCAGTGCGTGACCCTATCAACATTTATTTATGTACAGAAAAGAAGAAAGAAGCAGAAGGTTTAAAGTTCATTGGTCCGTTCTTTGCTCAACTGCTAGTCTCTATATATGCACCAGCAATTCCATTTTACTGCTTGCTATACCAGTGTTTACCAAACTTTTCTTAGTCGCGGCGTCTTTTTTCAATTAAAATGTTTCCACGGCGCCCTAGCCTAAGTAAATGTACGGCTGGCTGTTCGTATGTGAAGAATAACATTTTAAAAATAACACTCGTGTATCTTCGAATATTCCGCGGCGACCCTGTGAAGAGGTCGCGGCACCGCAGCGCGCCGCAGCACACAGTTTGGGAATCACTGCCCTAGACATTATAGAACGCCGAGCATAACCATAAATGCTCCATCTCACTTAGCTAAAAAAAAAAAAAAATGTAGGGTGAAGACCAGCTGTCGGCGACCCTTTTGTAGGACTATCGTTAATTTATGTGGTTCTAGTGATGGTATGTAATGTCGACACATGACAATCGACTGTTATCGGCACGACACGTGATGATGATGATAATGATAATGACGGTTTTCAAGCTGACACTGTGTCATTGGTAGGTTTTTCCACACAGGTGCGCAAACAAAAAGGACCTGGGAGAGAGGGATGGGGGCAGGGGGTTCGGGGGCGAGGGGCTGCTCAATGGACTAAAGTTATGCTTAGGTGCGCAGTAATAATAACAAGTATTATTTTACGCGCTGAGTAAATATAATAAAGGACTCTCCCACGTCTTAAGGCGTGATCTGCATATAGGGCTAGACCTATATTCAATAGACCAATCAGCAAGTGGTGGGTGATGTGGTCAGCATCACGCCGGTCGCCTTTACTTTCCAGGACTGGACCTGGAACCCACTCAATGCTAAGTTGACACCTAAAAGACATGGTCACGTTGGCAGGAAGCCCGTTTATGCCAGGATTCGAACTCACGGCCCTCCGATCCGCAAGCGAGCGTCTAGCCACTACACCACGACAACTCCCATGCGCTGAGTGGCCGGCCAAACAATTTTAAAAAAATACTTACAGAAGAGAAAAATCGATAAATGTAGCAAATGTCCGACTCCAAAGGAAGCTCCCGGTTAGTCAACTCTTACGACATGCTTCTGGGTAGGCAGTGGGTCTATTCTACTTTTCCTGTAATAGGGCCCGAAACCCACAAAGGCAGTTTAAGGGGCCCAAACAGCCTCTTAAATCCCTATATATATAGATATTCTCACCCCTGTTGATTCTGGTGCCCATTGTTGGGAATACGAGAACAGACCCACTACCTCACTTACAATCATGTCGTAATTGGGCGCTCCCTTTGAAGTCAAAGTGCATCTACATGAGAGACAAGGAATCAGTAATCTATACACAGATAAGCCCGGAGATAGACAACAACCAGAACTTTCCGCCAGAGTTTACAGCGGGTGAACGCGAGGAAGAAGAAGAACAGTGTTACTATTATTATTAAGCAGTCAAATAAGTCCTAGGCCTATGAAGCTACCTCCTATGCCAACTTGTATATGCGGTGGCGCTCATGCAGCAGCACATCAAACAGACAACTGTATATTTCTGCTATGCATGCCTGAATACAGCGGAATATACTTAACCATACATAGCTCATATGTTCCCGTAAAAAGTGTTATTATCTATTTCATTCAGTCAGGCCTAGTTTATATTCGGCTTCTGTCCCACTATGTTAATCTACAAATATTTTCAGTGGTTTTATGTAAGCTGTGGATCTGACCTAGATGAACATTCAGGGAAATATAGATGGAGAAATAAAGACTTTATAAAAATACTGATAGATTTAGTGACCCGAAGGGTTTCAGTACACATTCATCGTTTAGCATAATCCCAGCGATACCTCTAGACAGCTATTCGTTTTGTTTGCAGTGGGGAAGACAGCGGCTGCGGCTTAAGCGTTGCGAGACACTTCGTAATGCCAGGATGCCGGGTTGGAACTTAGCTGAGGACGATCTGTCTCAGTAGCTCAAGCAGCGAAAACGTAGACTTCTGTCCATATGTGGAAATTACATTAGCAAAGCGATGTCGGAAGCAAAAAGTAAACATTCTGCGATGCCCTATTCTCCATTCTGAACATGCTACTGATATACAGTATATGTATAGTGGTAGCACTGTATACGTCTTTAATCCGTTTCAGATCCTTGGACGTATATGTAACAGGACGTATATGTAACAGGACGTCTCCAAACAAAATGTTTGATCCCAGCTGCGGGCCATGCGCCTTGCGTTGGTTTCGACTGAGGTATCAGGGGGCCGACCACCCAGAGAGCAATGGCACACTACTGGACGTAAATTTGCCTAGAGAAACCACACAACAGCCCAGGGTTGCTGGCGTTGGTTCTGCAATGTTTTGTAAAGGATACGCAACTAACCTAACCTAATTAATTCGTTCACATGAAGAAAAAAAAATATCCTATCGTTTCCTAATGCTACTAAATTGGTTAAAGTACAAATCTTGAAATCATGCATTTTTTCCTGTGGCAACTTACAGTTGCGAGTCCTGGACTCTCACTCAGTCACTGAGTAGAAAAATTGAAACTTTTGAATTGAAATGTTATAGAAATATTCTTAGAATACCATGGATCAGGAAGAGGAGAAACATCGACATTATAAACCAGTTGAACATCAGGGAGAACTGGCTCATAAACAGCATTCTGTCCTGAAAGTTGAAGTATTTTGGCCACATCTAGCGTCATGGCGGCTTGGACAAGACTGTGATGGAGGATGCAGTTTGTGGAAGGCGAGGCAGGGGTCAACCACCTTGAAGATGGATACAGGACTTTGAAGAAGCATTGGCATTAAAAGCACATGGGGCTGGAGATCTGGCCAGGGAAAGGATTACTTTCAGGCGTGCCGTGAAGAGAGTGACGCCTGTAAAAGACTTGCTGATCGATGATGATTATCGTGTTGGCATTTTATACATTGATAGACGTGTATAAACTAATCTAAACATTGCTTAACACTTAAATCCATTATTACAACAGCAATTTGACGAAATAAATGAACATTTAACCTCACTTTAACTTGTTGAGAAAAGTCAAATGCCTGCTAAGATGGTGCTGAAAAAGGAGGAGGTGGTGAGATTTTGTTTGGAACCAGTCCTCTTACGATACAAAATTCAGGAATATGAAATTCTTATATTTTTTTTTATATCTTACTTTTGAGTGCACCTGCCAACAGAGAAGGGACCAACAGTTTGCATAAAGTAAGCCAGATACATAAAGCGGATACGCGAGAAAATTTCAAATTCAAGAAAAAGACCAGAGTATAGATGTGGTAAAACAACCAAAAAACGTCCTACAGAGTTCATAGCCGGTGAATGGCAACCATAAGAAAAACGACAAGCCCTTACCAACGTACCTTCTTGAACAGGCAACGTTTTACCATCTTGACACTGCAGAGATGTACATCCGTCTAGTCTTGTGTGAATCTCCATGTGGTCATACCACTTCTCTGCCCGTTTGCATTTTCCGTAACCTTTAGCTATGATCTGCGTCTGGACCGTCTTTGTTGTTTCATTGAAGCTACACCAATAAGTCCTTTCCCCATCTTTCCATTGCTCTCCTTGCTGAAAGCATTTGATATCCTCCCTTTTGAATGCACAGGCTGAAACAAAAACAGATCATACTGCAGCTGTGAAATTTAGTGTAGTGGGTAAATTTCTAATGACCTATTAAAATCTATATTTATGACTCTACCAAGGAAACCAGGCACTTAAGAATTTGAAGACTATCGCTCCATTAGGCATTTTTAGACAGGTGATACAAATTTTACTGATAATAATTATGAGAAGAATAAGAAGCGAGGTGAAAACAGAAATTAGTGAAAAACAATGTTAATTTTAGAAGGAAACGGTAAAAACAATGGCATTTACTTCTCCAGGACTCACGTAAAAACAATCTTTACTTATGCTTGATTGACTATACCAAAGCAGTTGACTTTGAGAAACGAAGAAATGAAAAAAACTACTGCAAAAGTTAAAAATTGATGGAAAACATGGATCAATAATAAACAATAACTACTGGCAGCAAACAGCGGTTGTAAGAACAATTAACCATTTGGGAACATTTAAAAGCACAAAAAGTACGACAGGATGTGTACTGTCACCTGATTTTATTTTTTATTTTTTACAGTGAATATATAATGAGAAAGGGAGTCGCCGTGGCAGAGCGGCTGGACGCGCCCCGCGGATCGGAAGGTCGTGGGTTCGCTCCCTGGCGGAGCCGGACTTTTCTTCAAAAATGACTTTAGCTCCCAGGTCGACCCAGCCTTGAGTGGATACCGGGTGCCGTCCCAGGAAGTAGAGGCGGCCGGCGTGATGCTGACCACATCACCCATCTCGTACCGCTGGTCTATAAAATATAGATCTAGACCTCTGTGCCCTATATGCCTTAAGGCGTGGAAAAGTGTTCTTGACTTGACTTATATAATGAGAAATATCCTGGGATTCCAGGAAGTGTGGTTGGCGGTCATAACTTAAACAACATCCGTTATGTTGATGACACTGTCAGGGTAACGGCAAGTCAGAAAGAACTACAGGAATTGACAGATACAGCTGTGAGAGACTGCAATCAAATGGGCCCTAATTTGAAAAATGCGAAGACAGAAATTATGGTGATTTCCAAGATAAGAATAGTGTCTAACTGCCCAATATAAGTCCAAAACATTATTTTAGGACAAGTACCGAAATTTCAGAATCTGGACACATGAATAACATCCGACAAAAGATGTTTTACAGAGATGTAAGAAAATAAAATAAAAAAATAAAATAAAAAAAGAATAGGACACACCAAAACTGTATTTTATAAAATGATGAACATTTTATGCAATAAATCCATGTCAATAGAGGTTAGGAAAATAATTCTCGTATGTTGTACAGAGCCAGTTTGAACTTACGGCTGTGAATCCTGGACAATAAATAAATAAGCCAAGCAATCTCTGGAGGCACTGGAGGTGTGGTTTTACAGAAGAATCCTTAGAAGACTTTAGACAGCTAAAAAGAGCTAAAGAACCTTCTTTTAAAAACCATACTGAACCGAAAGGTCAAAGGCAAAAGAGCAAGAGGTGGGCAACGATACAAGTGGGAGGAAACCATCAAGAGATGGGCGTGAAGCAGTCTGAGAGAGTGTATACACAGGACAAGAGATTTGGCGTGTTGGCGATCCATTGCCGCCAACATTCACAGTGGAGAAGGCACCTGATTGATTGAGTGAGTACAAGTGAAAATATTTATTTTACAAACGAAACTGACCATCCGTAAGGATCTTGACTCGTTTGTTTTGACATTGCCGTAAGTCACATTTTGGCGGGATTGTGAACACTTGAAAATTTTGGTACACTTTATCTCCTGCTGGACAAGCTGCAGACGTGAAAATGAAAGTAAATGTAATATTATTACGCAACATATTTGTTGCGTCGTGAAAAATAGTACAGTAATATATCCTTTTAATAAAACGACAAAGCAGCTCATAGCTACTGTAAAAATAACTTGTTTCATAGTTTTGGCAGCCAAAAAATCTTTGTAATTTAATGAGTGAACCTGTTTAAACTGCACACATGAATACCTTAGGGTTCAGCCGATCCATTGACAGTTCTTCTGCACCGGGGTCATCGATCCACAGTTTATATTGTAAGAATGTCAGATAACATATCATAACAAATAGTAGTGAACTATAGATAATAATAACAGGTCTATAAATAATTATCGGCTCTGTGGCTAAGTCGATGCAAACGCTTCGTAATGCCGGGATGCCGGGTTCGATCCCAGATGCGGGCCATGTGCCTTGGGTGGGTTTCGACAGTGGTATCAATAAAGCCGACCGCCAAAAAGCAATGGCAAACTACTGGACGTAAATTGGCCTAGAAAAACCACACAACAGCCAGGGGCTGTTGGGGTTGGTTCTGCAACGTCCTGTAAAGGATACGCAACTAAAAAAAAAAACTACTGGATGTAAACTTGCTTTGAAAAACCACAAGAGCTAAAAATGCTGGGGTTGGTTCTGCAACGTCCTGTATAGGATACGCAACTAACTTAAACAGTCGAGGCTGCAAATCGACAGTTACAGACGGAAAATTTTTGGCCTCAGATTTGCACAAATGCCATAACTGTAGATTGCTATCATTATTGCAGTTACTTCATCATAATATGCAAAATGCTGGAAGCACAGTCTGAGATAAGTCTGCCTGTCTTGCTTAGCAAAAAATATCTCAGTGTGAGTAGTATCATGGGAATGGGTACACAGCTGGCATTCGCAAGTGTTATGGTTGACTGTTTGTTTCAATGTCACTGACGAGTGCTGTGAATAGAAACTAGTTGAAGCTAACACGATGTTTTATAATACCTGTCCTGTTCATCCTCTTGAACGAAGTTTTTCGTCAGGGACACAGATGAGTATCATTTATTTACTACATTAGAGTCCTATGTGGTCATTTCATAGTTAGTGCATATTTGTGTATGTGTGCTGTGTTGTTCTTTGTGTGCTGATGAAGGTGAAT